ATTTGTTAGACACGTGGAAACAGCGGTAAAACAGGTAAGTCGTATGGAAAACACTGGTGGTTACAGGTATCCCACTATAAATATAAGTGGAGCAAACTTCTTAACAATACATACAGTTATGCATGGCCTTTATTATATAGTTCTTGTACCAGTATGTTGCTGCTATGAATGCTTGCTATAAGGACAGTCAGCCTTTTTTCTAGAAAGAATTAAAAAATGCCATGGTAAGCTCTTCTTTTGAACTTAAGTATAAAAAATGCATCTTTTTCTAGAGCTGTGTGAGAAAAATATTTATCGGGCTTTTCTGCTACATTATTTAATTACCTCCAAGGAGGAGGTTATTTTTTCTTCCTCGTTTATCAGTCTGTCTCTATGTTCATTAAAACATACTCCAGAAAAAAAAAAAAGGCCAAATTTCAAAAAATAAATCACATCTATACGCATTCCAACACACTCGAACACACACAGTGACACACACATAGTGACACACACACAGAAAGCAACCTAATTTGTTTTTGCTGGCTGCGACTGTGCACACATCCACGATAAAAGAGCATTGGCAATGTCCTGCTTTGACAAAGCGCGTTCAACCTTACCTCCTCAATTTTCACGGTGGGAATGTTTACGCACTCAAGGAATGATACAGCGCCTGGTCAACCATATGATTACATGGCCATATTAATTTTCTTCGCCCTCATGCTGAATGTGATACCTCTTAGCCCGTGAACAGTGCTTGGCCAGGGGCGGCTGCGCACAAGGACCAAAGACCAAATTTCGGCTCAACTTCATGGTTGAAGACTTTGTTCTTGTTTAATCCATATTTGCTCTGTTGGAAGTCTCAGGAGTGAAATAATCACCAGTCTGTGACGGTAACTAAAGCGACGTGTTCCGTGTCTATAAAACGCATGCAATTATTCATTAAAGTTAACTACTCCTGAACTATCTTGGGTCAAATTAAGCCTACATTTTTATATGAAAGCTTAGAACAATTTTCTGTCGCCGGTTGTTTTGTGACGTCGCCCAGATTTGTAAAACCGCACGGCGTGCAAAAGAAGGCGCAAATCTCTGATGAGGTCGTCAGGTAAGTTCTTGAAAAAATCATGCTGTTTTGGTGTACGGATAAGACTTTGGACGGGTCAAGATCGTTTATGTGTTAAAGTAAAAGATTTTTAAAAGCTGTTTTACACTTAGTACCTTGAGCCCGTAACCGTTTGTGATCACCCAACTGGCTCTCGTAATTCCGGTTGTGCCTGTTATATATATATGTCTGTGTTCCCATAAACTTATCGTACTAGCACGATCGATATTTCTCAGGACTCTCGCCAAGGCGCAGACAATGTAATAAGCTTAATTGTCTGGCACATACCCCTCTCAAAGCAACATGAATAACATTATGCACCACATAGTTTTCCTGACTTTACTCAAGTACTTTAAGTTACGAGGGGGCGTGCCAGACATTAAAGCCGTTTAAACTGAATGCAATTTTACAATAATCACCAAGGAGTTAGATCGATGCAGCTAGTACGATAGAGTTATGGGAATGGTCCCTAAGTTTTCATACATGTATTCTCTGCTGGGTCATGTTTAGCAAGATAACTTAAAATTTATACCGAAATTGTTCTTAACTTTGTTAAACAATCTCGGTCTAATTAACAGTACATGAAATTGGGTTTCATTTCGATTAATTTTCATCATACCATGTCGCCTCCAACGGAACCAATATTTGTTAAAAGGACGCTGTATGTGTCGATCCTTACTGCAGTTCGAGATTTGAGCGGTAAACGACGAGGCTCTGCTGCTTAGCTGTTTAAGGTTAACGTTAGAAACTACCGTCACTTTAAGAAGGGGAATTAAAATTATGCAATTAATAAACACATTTTGTCTAATCTAGCCTTGTCAACAAAAACGACTAAATTGATATATGCGTGTATTTGATTACAGTTGCCCAGTGGGAAAAGTAAAAACAAAAAACACAAAAAAACAAGAGTTTGAGTAAGTTGTTTATTGAGTTTATTTTTAAGCGACTATATATTCAAACCTGGTACATGTAAAAATGGTAAAAAGTCAAATCTTCTGACTGCAGTGAAAGACATCTCGGCAGTCAACACTGTAACTTGAACTGGCTTTAACGATGCGCACCACCTGGATAATTCTACTATTGTACCCAAATTACCTTATCCTCGGCTTATGCCTCTTATTGTCAACTAAATAAAGAAAATAAGCAAAAATGGCGAAAAAACTTGTCGCGCTGTTTCAAAGTCACATCAATGATTAATATTCTGTCACTTATCCTTGGTTTAGAATAATGAGGGTCCCATGATTTGTAGTGTAGGAATGGGTTTTCTTCGTGAATTGAATGACTGATTATTTGTCGTTGTTGTGTATAAGAAACAAACGTTATTATGCGAATAGGGAAGCAAAACAACTCTTTGTCATTTTCTTCATTGTCTTTCTTTATTTTTTCATTATGATTTATTGCGTTGTCAGGGATGCTTTCACAGATGATATTCTAACTGACGAAGTTTTGATAATTTTCACCTGGTCTATTATTTACAGCTGTTGCTTGATTTTTAGCTATACATACATTTTCACTAAAACATCATCCCTTTTACCATTTAAAAGTTTTTTGTCGCGTACGTCTTGTCGCTATCAATGCGTATTAGGGCAATATTAGTTTATTTTCATTTTACATTCAGGGTCAGTGGATGATTAAAGACGTTTAAAGTCTGACCTCGGCCTAATTTATGTAGAATGCTCTTCACCTCTTTTTTTTTCTTTTTTATTTATTTTTTATTCATTTATTTTTTTTTTTGGGGGGGGGGTAGGTCACAAAAGGACTCAAGCCCGAAAATTGGTCTTATTTCAAAGAGTTGGCCTACATGTAGGAAGCTTATCAATTGGAATGTCGCGCCTCATTTTATTACAAGAAAATTCGAGTGAAGTACTATAATTTTTGAAATGATTTAAAATTAAAAACTAAAATATGAAAATTTAATATTAAAATTTCAACGACAGCAATATAAATTGTGGTGTAAATGTTAAGGCCAATTTCTCGGACCAAAATTATTTTGTTCAACCGGACCCTGAGCACTCTCAAGGGTTTGACCTGTTTGTGTTAGCGGAAAACCAGGACTTGGAAGAACAACTTTGATAAGTCAACAGAAAGGACTGCGGTGACCTCGACGAACTCGCAGGGTCGTGTGACCTGTCAGAAACTTTGGCATTATAACTCATACCCTCGCATAGATTTTTTTGGTTGTTGTTTTCAGGATTCAGTTTCACACACAGGCACTTAAGTTAAGAATAAATGAATCGAAAATCAAACAAGAAAAGAAAGAAATAAAAAGAAAAAAGTCATCTATTTAAAACATATTTTTGAATGAAAATTTTCAGATTATCTGACGAAGAAAGATAACACATACACGAAATACTGCATGTGTAAATAGGTAACATGTCCAACTAATTTAAACTTTATATTATTGAATTTCTTCTTGTTTCGAAGTGGACAAAATCTTGGATCTTAAGGTATACATCTCCTTCTGGGTTAACAAGTACATTAGGTGCAACGGGTTCCAGTAATTCGAGTCGCCGTGGCTCGCCGACACAGCTATCCCTCGAGTGACAACGCGTGAAAAATGAGCGAACGTCACGACGCCGTGGCATTCGGTGCAACGGTCCCTCTGTTTAGTTTCGAAAATAAGCAATATATTTTTGTCAAATTAAACCGTCCGAGGGTTGTCTTTGCACCTCAAATGACTGTCATAAACAGACCGTGTGTTATGTGTGAGAAAGTAAAAATATTCTGAAAGTTGTTTTGAAAACAGGTTGTTGTTTTAAACAGGAATGTACAAAAAAGATCCACAACATTTAAGCTTAAAGGTGCAAGCGTTTTATATTTATTCATTTATCTATTTATTAATTTATTTCATCTTCATCAAGTAGGTCTAGTGGCTTTTTGAGCCCCTTGACTCCAACATGATGCTATGACACGTTACGTTGTGCAGTTTACGTAACGGAGGGGGCTGTAAGAAAATTTTAACTGGAGATCACACAAGGAAGCGCGTTGTGATTATCACGAAGTTTTGGCCGAGTGAATATTTAATTAACCTATTTATTTATTTATTCATTTATTTTATTGCCACCAGGCGGATGAAAAGTACACAGATAAAATCGTTCACGTGATACACAATAAAATCATTTAAAAGAATTTTTTCTAAGATACTTAATAAGATCATTCTAAGATATGGTCAGGTTAAAATAATGGACGAAAGAAAACTTAAAAAGAAATAAAACTTTAAGAAGGATTTTGTTAAAAATTTCACCTGGACCGTTAATCAAAAATCTAATGCAGTCTAATGCAGTCGATGAAGATAAAGGTACAAAAAACGCAATCAAAATTCATTTCATTGGCAGTTTCGCGGTAGCAATTCGCCCGTTAAGCCTCAATTACTCCCCCTATGCCTCACCAAACACAATAACACTGCATAATGGAGAAATGCAAAACCCTTGGTTAAGAATGAGCATTGTTACCGACGATGGTAATCGTGTTTTTACCTACTGTATTATTACAAGGCATGGTGTGAGAACTATTACTTACAGCCAAAACCGTTAATTGGCAGCTCCTGTTATAATAATTAAGTCACAGTCTTTGACCATCTTTACACAAGAGCTAGACTATTAATATTCCATCTTCAAGAGACTATGAATTGTTCCCAAAATTGAATTACCGAGCTCCCTCATCGAAGATAATTATAGTCTTCGTTATGCAATACAGTAGCAGTTTCAGGCTTACGTAATGGTAATGATAGGGCGACGAAAGAGCTTTCAAATTTTACTTTCATCTCAGGTGTGATGGTGAAAGCGTTCACCCAGATTGTGTGACAATGGACACAGTGATCCTGGCCACGCTGAATGGGCTATTTTCACTGGTGACGTCTTTAGATCGTCCCAACCCAATATTACTTTGTCCAGTTTTAAGAACTATCCATTCAGATGAAGATTAGGGGCTCAATCCCAATGAAACTATCGGTCTACGTCGATCGATCCAACTCCACGGGGACTCTCGCTGAATGTCACCGGGTTAATAAATGAACACACCTCCTTCTGGGGTTAAGCAAAATACAGAAAAAAATGGTAATTAAAGTAGTACGTTGGAAACAAGAGGAGACGTCCATCTGTTTATTCGGTTGCATTCAGCAAGAGTCCTCCCGGAGTTGGATCGACCTACGTAAACCGATAGTTGCATTGGGAATGAGCCCTAGCTCGCAATCAGGCGACTGTTTGCCAAAATCGCAAAGGCGTTGTATGAGGATAGTCATTTTCAGTAACAAAGGAACCGAACAAAAATGAAATGAGTAAGTAATGTTTATTATTCACAGTTTATCGACTATTTTAACATAAGAGTGCTGTACGTATATGCATGTTGCACTGAAAGGTCTTTTAATGGTGCCTCACACAAGAGCTAGTTAAATTGTTTTATGATTATTAGCAGTCAAGTGCAAGTTGAACCGTTCCCGACTGCAGTTCGTATGTGTTTCAAACACTCCTCACAAACATATGCATGTATCTGGCTTAATAATACTTGCTTTTTTTAAAATTGTAAATGGGTTGCACTGGCTGCAAATTTCAATGTGGGGGCTTGTGAGAAATTAAAGACGGCAACTTAGTCCAACCTACATGTAGATGGTACCCGCGGGAACATGTATGTGCTAGCACGAGCATTGTTCATATTGTTCCTTCGTATAAACACAAGCATTACATATTACGATGTATATACATGTACGTCAGTGGTCAGTTTAATTCTGCTTTTCTGCATGTTAGGTGGAAAATTTACATTGATGAATCATGTACCGTACATGTAGAACAAACAGCTACAGGCTGGCGGTTTACAATATTTATTATGAAATATTCAAGACCTGCATAATACGTCCTAATCTAAACCTGTATTCAGCAGCATGATTGACCAAGAAGAAATTGATAATGGATCCTGAAAAACATGGTCGAAGAGTAACATCAACAGGTTTTGTTTCGTATGACAGGAATTTTATGCTACATGTGAGAAAAGGGATGTGTGTCTCATACATCTTTTAGGTGTGGGAGGCTAAAATGATAGGGCTCATATATACATTATACATTGTGAACTTTTATGCGGGAAATTTGCCTTTTATAATTTACTTTTAATGCCACTTTTCCTTCTCAAACCTCACACATCGATTGTAATGCGAGGATCTGCGAAGTTCAGCACGCAAGGTAACGTGAAAGAGACGCTTTTATCAATTTTCACACCAACTGCGATTGTAAATATGGTGAAAGATGTCGTCTGTGAAAAAGGTCGTGAAAAGAACTGTGGCTGCACACTTTGTGGGTGGATTTTAGATGATGAAAAGAATAAAGACACCCCGACTTTTTTTTGTATTCGACGAACTGAAAACGCAATCAGGCCCCGCATCAATATAAACAACCACGTTTGTAAACACACATTGGATTACATCGTCTCTGAACCGAAATGACTAAACATGCTCGACAGGTGTGCGTTAGTGGTTAGGAAACGAAGGGTCTTCACTTTGTCCGTGTTACACGTGACTATTTAACTACAAATGCATATATGTATTTCGTAATAAATTCTTTAAAAACTTCTCCTTTAGCTGCTGAAAACTCTCTGAAGCAGGAGAGTTTGTCTGCAGGGAATCGTAGTTCATTATTTTTCACCGGCGTTCCATATACAGAGTACTAACTCCAAGGGACGGTTGACAAGTACCGGTACATGTACATACATGTTGTTTTGATTTTTTCTCTTTTCAGACGGAAAACCTGGATTACAGTACGCCTTAATTGCGTCAGCTGAACTGATGTTTCAAAAGTGGTCAAAACACCGGTGATAAACCCTACATGTCACACAGAGAAGAATTTAGCGAATTAACAGCAAGTGTTTGGAACACTACCAAGCATCATTTCTGGTAAACAAGAAGGAGACCCAAGATACAAATGTACGATGGCTTATCATCTCAACGGATCTCATTATCAGACTAGTCTCCACCAACAAGATCATATCTCGGAAGAAAATCATCGCCATGCAGGTGCAATTCTATTGCAGAACATGTCTCACCCCGAAGAACAAACGACGGAAAACGAAAACCATGAAAACGATCTGAAAACAAATGTGTCAATTAATGAATATGTTGTGACAAATGTCAATGGCAACAATGAGCTTGAGAAGGAATGTGTCATACCAGATATTAACGGCGGCCATGATGTCAGTGACGTCAGCGATATCTGCAAAGAGCATGTGAGCAATGGTGCCGACGTGGTCGACGCGTCACCGAATACTGTTCTAGAATCACTACAAGACGGATGTGCCGATGGCGGATTAATTAACAATACAAATAACGATGCCAAAACTGATTACAGTATTATCATTCATGGTTCAAATGTCAACTCTAAGTTAGCAGCACAAGAAAGTGCCAGTATTATAGGCAGTGTGCCCAACAGTCTTTCTCAAAACCTGTTAATTGTTGGAAACGGATCTTGTGACAATGACCAAATCCCGAAAACCAAAAGCCTTGCATCGAAACATAATCCACTGAGCGCCACTATGTCGGCTTCAGACGAAATGAGCCACGTTACAGAAAATGGCCACGTGCATTCCGTCAGCACTAAACTGGCAAATGAAAACAGCGCTTCCGTAGATGGTGACAGCATTGATCCATTTTATATCAACAACGGTATATCACTAATCGGTTATGACAACAAAGGGTTTGATGTAAAAGATGACGAGGTTTGCGCAAATGGCAAGGTTAACACCTCTGATGTCGTTGTAAGTGGTCATACTTCCAAAAGAGATAGGAAATTAAGCGAAAGAAGTGTCGGAGGAGAAAGTTCTTATTCAGGTAATTATTTTGACCACTCTCTATAGAGTCCATAGGTATTCTGTATATCATTAGTGTCCAGAAGTTATAGCGTTAGACTTTGCTTATAGTTATACTAACGTCGATGATACATACACGTTTTCGTACAAGTAAACTTGGTGATTCATACTGAAAAGACAACACGTGTAATAGTACACCAATATATTTATTGTTATTTACATAAATAAATTGATATGTTAAAGGAAAGGGATAAAAGATAACCGAAAGGAGGGCGGGGGAAAGGCTTATGTAGCTGGATAAAAATTGATTAAAATGTCAAGACATTTAGGTGTTAGACGGACTCTTTTGCATAAGCAAATTAATTTAATCGAGATATTGATCCTACAGTATATACACGTACATTGGCATTATGCACGTACAGTGTACGTTAACTGACGTCGTTTTTATTATATATCTATTTCTTTATTATTGAAGGTACGCAACGCAGGTTGAGCTTAGCGTCGTGGTCGCCTGTCGTAAGCTTGACGGAATCAAGACAGCCATCAGTGGCGGAGAGCGCCGGAGTTCAGACCGACCGCTGCATCGATTGGTTGGTGGTCTTGGCGTCCTTCTTCATTCACTTTATTGTGGATGGGATTTTATTCTCTTTCGGTGTGCTCTACGTCACCCTGCTGAACGAATTTGAAGAAAGCAAGTCGGCGACTTCTTGGGTTGGCTCCATTCAGAATGCAGGGAGTTGGATCATGGGTACGGTATAGTTTACGCATGCGCACTGCAGATTTCCCTCCCTCTGGCTTTAGTTCACATGCATTACAACTGGTCGGGCGATCTTAATTTATTTCACGTTATACATGCCAAGGGTTTTTATTTTTTTTCTTTTGGCAACTGAAGTGACAGAGACGGGAGTGAGGGGAGGAGAGGCTCTTTGCTTATTTGGTTGCATTAAGGATCAGTGCTAAAGGCCATAGCGTTCGTATCGTATTGACACATTAAGATCAAATTGTGCATGCTGTACTGTAGATGTTTTTTGTTGACTAAAACGCCAGTATATTTGGTTTCAGTGCAATTTCCAACTTAGCAGAATGAATTAATGGACTATTTCGTCTATTTTAAGAAACAAAAATAACTAATTTTATAAAGAAGAAGATTGATCAATGCTAGCATGAAACATATTCAAAACAGTTTATGATTAAGACAAATCTAAATGGCTATTTTTAGGTCCGATAGCAAGCGCCTTGTCAGACAAAATTGGACATCGGGCTGCTGGAATCGCAGGTTCTGTTCTCGCTGCGACGGGATTTGGCGTGAGTTCCTTGGCGCCAAACTTGTCCATTCTGTATCTAACATACGGGGTCATGACTGGCCTCGGTTTTGGACTCATGTATTTTCCGAGCATTGTCTCCGTTCAGGATCACTTTGAAAAGAGGAAAAGTCTTGCTATGGGAATCGCAGTGTGCGGATCAGGCGTTGGGACATTTTCAATGGCGCCCTTCACAGAATTTCTCATTAAAACTATTTCTTGGAGGTACACACTTCTCGTATTGGCGGGACTTTCTCTCTCAGGGATAGGCTTTTGCATGTTGTTCCTCCCACCTAAGCCAAAGCAAAATGAAGAAATTCTTACAGAACAGACATTAACACGCTGTGACACAGTGGCAATGTTTTTCAAAAACGTGATCGACATTTCCTTACTTCGAGAATTATACGGTGTCATATGGCTTGCGTGCACCTTCACAGTCCAAGTAGGATTCTTGGTGCCTTATACCTATATACCAGACAGCGCACGAGCCAAGGGGGTAGAGGCGAACAACGCAGCGTTTTTGGTGTCGATTGTAGGCATTGCTAACACAGTGGCTAGAATCGTGATGGGTGTGTTTGCAGACTTCAAGTGCATTAATAGAGGCTATATGTTCGGGACCAGTGTCATGATTGCAGGCATCATGGTTTCCATATTGCCATTTATGAAGGAGTACGGTGTGATTGCAACGGTGTGCACGTTTTACGGGTTAACCCTTGGTAAGTGAATTTCTTATAATATTGCGTTATTTATACTTATATAATGACAGTGTTTACACAGATGCAGAAGTACATTTTATGTGAATCTGTAATTGCTTTTAAAATATTGCTGTATTAGTCAGTCTAGTTCATTTTTAGTGAAAATGTGGGGATATTTTTACATTCTAAATGCACGGGGCATGTGTAATGAAATAGTTTCAAAAATAACTAAACCTTTTTATTCAATAATTGATACTTATCATTTACATCTTCATCGTTTAATGTCCAATTTGGCAAAAAAATGCACTAACTAACGAACAAACCAACTATTGTGATAAGCGGACAGACACACAAAAAAACAAACAAGAAAGCTATCTTGATAAAATGCGTGTACACAGCACTCCATAGAACTTGAAGACTCAAGCCCCACCCCCCCCCCCCCCCCCCCACCCCGTATTCACAGCAAGCAAGTAAAAGTACTTCTGTTTTTTCTACAGGAACCTTCGTCTCCTTGGCCCCGGTTGTTCTGAGAGATTTAGTCGGTATTGAGAAACTCGGACCATCATTTGGACTCACCATGTTAGCCATAGGTTTGGGTTCCCTTCTCTTATCGGCTGGAGGTAGGTGACAAAATGGGGGGGGGGGGGGGATTTACATATTGTTTTCTGATATTCATGATATAGCAGGTTGTGAAGACCGACATTTTTTTCCCTTTTTTCATCAGCGGTTAATTTATGTTCATAATCTGATACAGTATATAAGATATGCGGATAAAAAATGTTTTACACAACGAATTGATCAATGTTATAACAATAATTATAATGATAATAATAATAATAATAATCACGACGAAGACACGGTCTCATACATATAGACAAAGTTTATAGTTTTTGTTTATAATATACATACCATTTAGGCGGACATGTAAATGTTACGTATGATTCTTGACTTTTCTATTTCAGGTAGTTTGTACGATTTAACAGGCTCTTACGATGTCACCTTTTATATCACCGGCTCTCTATTATTCGTTGCCGGTGGAGCTCTTCTGTTGTTGCCATGGATACGTGACCTGCAGGGACGATGTTGTCACCATGGCAGCGCAAATATCACCACAGAAACTGAACTATGACAACGTTAGTGAATGACTTTATGTTATTGTGCACTTTCTAGGAATGGTCTATAGAAGGCGCAAAACAAAAAAAAAATGAAATTGTTGCAGAAACTGATGCATAAAATGGAGAAAATTGTCGTTTGAATTCAAAACACTATAAAAAGAAAAGCGATTTAAACATCACAACAAATTATAAAGGTTGAACATTTTAAATCTTGATATACCAGTATTAAAGTGAGAGACGAATTAATAAAACTAGATATAGTAACATAATGTTGTTTACATTTTATTAATATTTTTATTTTTATTTTGATATTTAAATACATTCGTTGCTTTATTCATTTTATATTGGGGTGCATAGATTGGACGCACCACTGACATAAAAGATAAAACACCGGACCATCACCACTTCTAAACAGTACGTTAACAATGACACACCCCTTTTGTCACAAAAATAAGTTATATTCAACAACTGAACCGTCACACTTGTAACCGCATTTTTTAATTGTACGGCGCGCATGTCAGACCAAGAACAAAGTCACTCACTGGTTCTGTTCAGTTCTGCTTTCATGTATCTTTGCCCAGACTCATTTGTAATTGGTTCAAAATATCCACGTGACTGTGCTTACATAAAGGCCCTGTTTCCCTATTTAAATTCACTTTACGCTTTGAAGGCGATACTCATCAAGTGGATGCACAAGGCCGTGGCAAGGTGAGAGTTAGGTTATCTTGAGTCGTTTATTCGGTGATGTGATTGTCTTCTCAAAGTATTGTTAGAAAAATTTCATATGCACAGCTGATGTTTTTTTAACGCAATAATTCAATCTACGGAGGTAAAGGGAGACGTTTTGAAGTTACGCGGTCACGCAACGTCCTGAATCGTAATGATCCCGTGACCTCAGACAGTGGATGGTTTGTAGAGCGGCAGTGTGGTTTTAATTTAAAAATCGGAGCGATAAAAGGTTTCACTCAATATAACTCAATTGGCATGGTGTCTAAAGTAGTAGACAAAACACCTGCAAAACTGAGTTCAGTGTAGCTCTGCAGCGAACTAAATTGAGGAACGCTTGCCTGGTCAATTACTTTGTTGTTCATGTCTGAAGCATGTGCTTTTAACCCGTAATGCTAGTGATATACATGTATATGTCTTATGTTAAAGAAGACTTAACTCTTAGTCCAAAATTTAGCCCAGTAATATAACCAGGCTGAATAACATAAGACATAAGAATGTTGGTCAAAAAACTTTAAAACTGAAATGTCCGGTTAGCTTCAATCTACGGACACAATTTTTTATCTTTATATAAAATGGTGTTGACGTATAATTTATATGAACTATAGTCCTAGGTTAACTTGGGTCATAGAGGGGCTTGACGTGTTTACTTATATTATGAAACCGACCTATCATCTTTACCTGATAGGCGTAACCATGCAATACACATATTTACATGTACGTCAAGCAATGAACCACTACAAAAAAATCTCACATGCTATGACGTGCCATTTATTACTGGTTATGTGGGATCCTGGGACTTATAGCGACTGTATTGTGCTTCCTTTATGGTGAAAGTACAGAAGCTGGTTATACGTTGACTGTTGATCAATGTTTGTGTCCACAAAACATTTTTTGTGCTAATTAGGCAGCAAAGGGATTTTCTGCGTATATTTGAAGCGTTACTGCGTCGGGATATATGGATATTGAAATACTTCTGCAGACGCCACTTTACAGGGGGTTACCTTTATTTCTACATGACTGAATAAGTTTCGATAATTTTCTCTTTGCATTTTATTAGCCCAAAAAATATGGCTAACCCCCCCCCCCAAAAAAAAAAAAAATGGTCAGTGCCCTGCAAATTCCAACATGACATGGTAACCTGCACACATTTTACCCTATCAGGAACAGTGTTACAACATTGTCATAGGCACATGTACACTTCCTTATCCAGGGGAATCACTTGAGTTTTTATTTATTTATTTATTTATTTATTTATTTATTGTGAAACCAGGACCTAGCGTTGAACTGTGCACTTTTTCTTTAAGGCTGAATATTGTCGTCACTTTTATACAGGATAGTAAACTGGTAGTCCATTAAAGAGCAAACAAACTAAGGCGCTGAGATGGCTGATACATCTCCGAACACCACCGTACTTGAAATTTCAACACAGGGCGGGTACACCAATGGCGGTTTTAAGAACGATACAATAGATGACGACACGTCTGGTGACAACCCTGCGGGTGATGAAGGTGAGTCTAGTTCGAACAGACATAGACAAGTACATGTAGTTGAGTCAGAGAAGTATATACAGAGAAGTTTATACTGAAATATATACTGAGCAAAAAATACAAACTCCCCAAACAATATATCATTAAATATATATATATATATATATATATACTGGCCGTACTGGCCGTATCTACAATTAAAGGGATAATAACTCTTCGTATGAGATCTATATTTCACAATAAAAACATTGTGAATAACTCATAGAAATATAATATATTCTGTTTTACCACAAAAACAGCAGTTATAGCTATTATTCTGATATCTGAGCTTGTCTTTAGACCACGTGACCTCCATTGAAGGCTATACTCTGTTAAAATCTCTTAAGAGATTTTAACAAAAAACCAAACTTTTTAGAAAAAAACCAGGGACTAACTTTGAATGTAAAAATGGATTCATTAACCATTGGTAAGTATGGGAAAATTGTTGTTTACTCCAGGAAAATTCATTTTTTGGCCGAAACGAAGAGTTATTATCCCTTTAACTGATAGCAGATTACTTAAATAATTCTCATGGGTCGCTCATATTTTGCTCAGAACATTTTTGTACAAGTAACTCGATCTATTGTGTTTTGATAATGCGCTTAAATGACGTAATCAGTGCCCAGGTACAAGAGGACGTCTGCACTAGAAACATACATAAAAGAAGAAAAAACAATATTCATATATATATATGCGCATTGATGTTTACAGATAAACCACGCAGGCTGGGCTTGGCGTCTGGGTCGCCCGTAGCGAGCTCAACAGACCGTAGACAACCATCGATGGAAGAAAGCTCCGAACTTCAGACCGACCGCTGCATCGATTGGTTGGTGGTCTTGGCATCCTTCTTAATTCACTTCATCGTGGACGGTATTATATACACATTTGGCGTGTTCTACATCGCCCTGCTAAATGAATTTGAAGAAAGCAAGTCAGCGACGTCTTGGGTTGGCTCCATTCAAATAGCTATGAGCTGGATCATCGGTACGAAAATATATTTTTATTATAGTTTGAGCAATCGCTGATACGCTTAGCAGCTTTTCCTGAAGGTTCCGCATAGAAAGAAATACGAACCTAGTTTATACTTTATACCTAATCTAACCTTCACAAGCTAAAATACGAACATTAAAAAAACTTCGTTAGTGTGTCATTTTCTACTCTGACGTACAGTATGACGTATATAAAAACCCGCTTAGTTGACAACATTATTGCTGCAACTCAGATATTTATCTTAAGCTATCAATAATGCAGTCGAATGAACACATGTTTCCATTTTCAAAAAATTAAAAGATATGAATAAAAAAATTGAACGCTTAGGACCTTTCCTGATTGGATATTTTTAGGTCCAATAGCAAGTGCCCTGTCAGATAGAATTGGACACCGAGCTGTTGCAATCACTGGTTCTATTTTCGCTGCAGTGGGATTTGGAGTCAGTTCCTTGGCGCCAAACTTGTCAGTGCTTTATTTAACATACGGGGTTATGACTGGCCTCGGTTTTGGACTGATGTATTTTCCAAGCATTGTCTCTGTTCAGGATCATTTTGAGAAGAGGAAAAGTCTAGCCATGGGAATCGCAATGTGCGGATCAGGCGTTGGGACATTTTCAATGGCGCCCTTCACAGAATTTCTCATTGATACTATTTCTTGGAGGTACACTCTTTTCGTACTGGCAGGGCTATCACTCTCAGGGATTGGCTTGAGTATGCTGTTCGTTCCACCTGCATTAAAGAGCAACGAGGAAAATGAGACAAAGCAGAACTCAAAATGCTGTGAGAAAACGACCAGGTTCTTCAAAAACCTCATCCATATCTCATTGCTACGAAAAGCTGATGTTGTCGCGTGGCTAGTGTGCATGTTGATATTCCAAGTAGGTCTTGTAGTGCCCCACACGTACATACCAGATATAGCTGTAGCGATGGGGGTGGAGGCGAACAACGCAGCGTTTCTGGTGTCCATTGTAGGCATTGCTAACACAGTGGCTCGAGTCATAATGGGAGTGTTTGCAGACTTCCGGTGCGCTAACAGACGCAATATGCTTGGGATCAGTGTAATGGTGGGAGCAGTCATGGTTTCCATACTGCCTTTTATGATGGGGTACGGCGTGATTGCCACCGTGTGCACTTTTTATGGGTTGACAGTCGGTAGGTATGATTTTAGTAAGTTTACAGTTTTATTCTTGCAGTATATACAGGTAAAATGCACTTATAAGTATGTTGCACAGCAACATGAGTCACTAGTAGTGTCGATGTAATATACATGTACATGCAGTCCATGTGCCATGTGCCATATGCACAGGGTGCTATTCTGTACATTATCTTTTCTGCTTTTCCTACAGGGACTTTCATCTCCCTTTGCCCGGTAGTTCTCAGAGATTTAGTGGGCATCGAGAAACTTGGACCTACATTTGGACTCACCATGTTAGCCATTGGTTTGGGTTCCCTTCTGTTATCGGCTGGAGGTATGTTAGCTATAACAGGATGGATTTTCTTTTTCATTTTAGTTTTCACCAATGTATGAATATATATACCAAGAGAATTTAATCTAGCGTGTTGGTAGACTTGTTTTCGGGGTTTGTCAATATATATTTTGGCTATCAGTTGTATCTTAATAAGTCAAACTGAAGATTTTTCCGAGAAAATAACTGGATGCATGAATAAATAAATAAATAAATAAATAAATAAATAAATAAATAATACTCATTTTCAAAATAATAAATGAAACAATGATAATAAAGGCGTATATGATTTTGTTACCAATTTATATTCTTCTTTATCAAGTCAGCTATTAAACAAACTGATGTAAATTTATTTAAAAATGCTGAATTAAAATAACTTTTTCTTTCACTTTATCTTTTTTTAGGCTTTTTGTACGATATAACCGGTTCATACGATCTGACGTTTCATATCACCGGCTCTCTGTTGTTCGTTACCGGTGGAATCATTTTGCTGTTGCCACGGATACGCAGACTCCAGGAACGATGCTGTTGCCATGGAAACGCGCATATCACAAACATTTGTTAAATTTCACCATAGGATCGGACCCTTGACAACAAAGCCAATGTTTTTGTGAATGTATAAGCAATTGACTTAGACGGCCTGATGATAATACATACCAGAGAAAACTTCAAATTGTTATTAGTTTATACTTGACTTGCCTAAAGACATGAAGAGAATTTTTCTAATGGTGTTTGGGTTAGTTGTAATACATATTTGATACTTTTTTCTTTTTTATTGGTTTTGAATAAGTCATAATAAATTCAATATTTTACCTTTAAATTTAACTCTGGCTTTTTCAAAACCTCAATAGTAAACGTATAGTATCACGGTCATTATAAGTAAAGTCAATTAGGCTGTGCGATTTTCTTTGATATTTCTTGAATATTTCATAAAACTTGTATATTGGTATTACGGAGATGCATTATACAATTATTTGTTTTAATTAAGTATTACTTCTTTGACAAAATGGTGTCAAAACTTGCACAATGATGTACCTAAAATATTATCCCTATAGGTAAACTTTGTAAACGAGTACATTCTGCTTATAAAAAGCAACGGTTATATGGTAAATAAAGTTGAATATTCTCTTAAATGATTTTAGATTAGATATTGATTCAGACAATTACATAGGTAACAAATGATATGGAGAACAGCATTGGTGGTGCCCTCCCTATTTACATACCAGAGCTCCTCCAAATTTTGCAACGCTTCCATTTTGAGCCTTTTTTCACTTCTCGATTCCCGCCAGTTGGAACTATCTGAGTAGAGGTTTTGTTCAGCACGGCTGTTTACTCATACTGTTCTTTTGATCTCATCCCAAGTACATACTATCACTTTAAATGAACTGTGCGCATCTATTTCTGAATTTGATATGTAAATCTGATAATCATTGTGTGCACTTCCACATCTTGATATATACTCTCTTCAAGTGACTAAGTGGTTCTTGTGGTGGCTCAAACTGGTTGAAGATCCTTGAAACAATATTATAACTGCAAGAGAAGCCAGAAGGCCCTCTCTGGTAGACACTACACAGCAAATACGTCACGTTCGGATCACGTGGCTAGCACGTTGCTACCACATTATAACGTCATAGCAACGTGCTAGTCACGTGATCCGAACGTGACATGTTTGCTGGGTATCTATATAGCTCCATTGTCTTACAAAGAAAGCTCTGTGCTGTGACATCGGTGTAACAGGAATGGTAGTCCTAGAAATGGAAATTCGAGGCCCCTTATGATTAGCACAGGATACGGCTAGTCGGAGTATTGGTGTTAGTAAATGGGACGAATGTCACCAGTACAAAGTAATGGGAAACAGATAAAGGTTCATGATTGCATATCCTGCCACACCGGCGATGTTTAGTCAGGTACACTGTGATTGGGCACAGATTATTACTCAATTAGAACAGCGTGACGCTTGTCGTCTTAACAGACTAGAGACTCCCTTTCTGTTTAAGTTAGTTTAATACCAATCTGGCGTTTATTTTTTCTGCATGGCACACGGCATATTTACTGAGTATTTGCACATTTCAGCATTATCTTATGATGGCAATAGACCTATTATACATTTAAATAGCATCTATATATCACTTGCTCTTCGTGGAATCCACCAACACATACCGCGATTAAACATTGAAATTACATTTTCTAGTCAAGACTATGTAACTGTACCCAAATATTGATCAACTGACACCCGCGATCAGGACCGTTTCCCTGTCTGTTTTCGTTGAGCTGACTACTGTATTTTGGGAGTCCAGTTTACCCCTGATAAGGATCGCTTACCGATGCTCCTATAGGTACCCTACAAATATCATACGGGCTCTATTGTCAGATCCAACGGCGTAGGGTAGGGAGAAAACACGGTCTTTTGCTAAGATTATTTTCCGGTGGGACTGTAACTCTTCAAAATTCAGCGTGCTATAGATACGATTTCAATATAACTTTCTACATTTGCACCTCCATTGTTGAAAAAGGTAAACATATTTGCCAAGCTTAAAACCATAACGGTTGTATATTGAGAGCCGTCAAAAGCAATATACCTGTATGTACATGTAAACTAGTTTGTTAAGCACTGTTATTTTTCCAACAAACAGCACAGTCTGAGTTTAGTGTCTGGGTCACCTAAAGGGAGCTGAACATACTCCGGACCAACAACGATGGAGCAGAGCTCAAGAGTTCAAACCGACCGCTGCATCGATTGGCTGGTGGTCTTGGCGTCCTTCTTTATTCACTTTATTGTTGACGGCATTATATTCTCTTTTGGCGTGTTCTACATCACCCTGCTGAATGAATTTGAAGAAAGCAAGTCAGCGACGTCTTGGGTTGGCTCCATTCAAATAGCTGTGAACTGGATCGTAGGTACGGTTGAAACAAGTGCCAACAAAATAAATTCTTTTCCGGATTTCGTTTTTGAAACTTAATAAATATTTTACAGCGCTTGTGGGGATCTTATTTAAGTACATCTCCCCCTTCGATATTTCTCTCTCTTTTATTTTGTGGAGAGAGAAAGGGAGTAGAGAGAGAGGATTCAAGATGGATTTGTCACATATGTGTACTGGAATTAACTTCAATATTTTAACTTTAAATGTTTCTTTCCATGTGTTAAAAATTAAAAAACATTGGGGGCTAAATAATTTATTTATTCATTTTTTTGTTATTTCATAGATAAATATAGATACAATGCCAAACAAAATTTCGAATTTACTAAAACGAAGGCATATGCTTTGTGAAAGGAATTAAAAGCTATATGTGTGTGAATTTAGACTTAATGACATACCGGTATAAAATATTTAATTCTTTTTGTGCATTTTGAAAATCTATTATAGGTCCGATAGCAAGCTCATTATCAGAAAATATTGGACACCGGGCTGTTGGAGTCACTGGTTCCATTCTCGCTGCGGCGGGGATTGGCACGAGCTCATTGGCACCAAATTTGTCGTTCCTGTATCTAACATACGGGGTTATGACTGGCCTCGGTTTTGGACTGATGTATTTTCCAAGCATTGTCTCTGTTCAGGATCATTTTGAGAAGAGGAAAAGTCTAGCCATGGGAATCGCAGTGTGCGGATCAGGCGTGGGGACATTTTCGATGGCAGCCTTGACAGAATTTCTCATTGAAAGCATTTCTTGGAGGTACACTCTTCTCGTCTTGGCGGGCCTTTCTCTGTCAGGGATTGGCTTGAGCATGTTGTTTGTGCCGCCTAAATTAGAAAGCAACGAGGATAATGAAATAGAACAGCTGTTGCCAGGCTTTGACAAAACTTCCATGTTCTTCAAAAATCTGCTCTATTTCCCATTGCTACGAAGAGCTGATTTTGTCGTGTGGCTAGTGTGTAATTTGATATTCCAAATAGGACTCGTAGTGCCATACACGTTTATACCAGATGTAGCTCGAGCTATGGGGGCGAAGGTAAACGACGCGGCGTTCTTAGTGTCGATTGTAGGTATTGCTAACACAGTGGCTCGAGTCGTCATGGGTGTGTTTGCAGACTTCCGGTGCGCTAACAGACGCTATATGCTTGGGACAAGCGTCATGATTGCAGGCGTCATGGTTTCCATATTGCCCTTTATGAAGGAGTACGGCGTGATTGCAACGGTGTGCACGTTTTACGGGTTAACCCTTGGTAAGTGAACTTCTTATAATATTGTGTTATTCATTCTTTCAACTTGTGTAACATCCGGTATATGATCGAAGCATTGGTCATATAATATAATACTGTATTTTGATTCTAAATATGTTATTCTAAATGTACGCGGTTCGCTTCATGATAGCTTATAAAATAAGTAAAGCCGGTGAAATTGTCTTAACGATTTTTTTAATCATAAGGAGCTATGGGCTACGCTGAGTATGACTACATTACATGAGCTTAAATCCGTACGATTCCGTGCGATTTCGCACGGCCGCCGTCTACCTCCGCTCAGACGCCGTACAAAAAGGGTATTACGGGCAGTATACGTGCTCCGTTTGGGCATCACATTTCAAAAGATATCTAGGCTTAACGATAATTGACATCCGCGTGGCAAAAAGAAGACAGAGACTGAAAAACTAACCAAAAACCAACGCTTGTAATAGTGATGTAAAAAAGGCCATGAAGTGAATATAAGTCTCCTACAAGACATTAAAACTCAAATATTCACACAACACAAAGTAAAAATACTTCTGCTCGTCCTACAGGCATCTTCGTCTCTATGGCCCCGGTTGTTCTGAGAGATTTAGTCGGCATTGAGAAACTTGGACCTTCATTAGGGCTTACCATGGTAGCCAACGGTTTGGGTTCCTTACTGTTAACGGCTGGAGGTATGTGACCAAAGGGGAAGAAGAGGGTTCAATCACTATACCTCTCTCTGGTAGATCATTATTTAAATTAGACAGATTATATATATTTACTAATATTACTCATTCTTATTTTCTGAAGCGATAAGATTTGAAACTTGCTGATAGGAGATAAATTGTTTTTAAATAGATTAACAACAACAATAATAATAATAAAGGAATCATTTTGGGTACTGACAATATATCAAGTATTATTTGTTATTTATATTTTTGACACCGGGCAATGAAATATATTTAATATAAATAAACGTCATCTAAAGTAATTAAATTTCCTCATTTCAGGTAGTTTGTACGATTTAACAGGCTCTTACAATGTCACCTTTTATATCACCGGCTCTCTATTATTCGTTGCCGGTGGAGCTCTTCTGTTGTTGCCATGGATACGTGACCTCCAGAGACGATGCTGTAATCATGGCAGCGCAAATATTACCGAAAAAAACTGAACCTTGAGAACTTTGGAGAAAGTTAGTGTGCACGTGCGCAGAGTGATCTTTAGAAGGTGCGAAACGAACATTTGAGACTGCTACAGACACTGTTGTATTTGCTGGATAACATTATCTCTCGTAATGCAAAATACTATTGCTTTCCTGTTTTAAAGATATTGTCAATTTAAGCATGTGTGCCCCACATGAGCCTTCGAGCGTGACAGCTCAAGGCAATAAAGAAAAACTTGACTTTGCTTTTTAATTACTCAGCTCCTCGTCAAGAGTTGAGCACTTTTCAGCATGAATAACACCTTACAATATTATATACCTGGTTGCTCAAAAGTCACTTTCACTCATGCGACTTCTAACAGGTTCTATGGCATTTTTGACACCTGTCATGTGCCAATAATTTGACGATTACATCAAAACCGTTTCACTTTAACAGTTGAAATGTCCAGGGCTGACTAATTATAATATATAAGAAATCTTTGCAAAATATAATCCAAAAGCTTGCGACCTCTTAAGGTAATTAAAATCCGTCACTCTTTTTTGAGTCACCGGATATACTGTATATAATTCGTGAATCTTATTAACAAGTAGGTTAACTCTAACATTGAGTTCCCTTACCCTGTACTGGAGGTCCTTCTAGCTGTACAAATTAAAAGCGGTTAAAGGATCTTCAACCAATTTTGTAACTGCTAGAACAAGTACGCGTCAAAGGTAATAGGATAGAAAGTTGGGGTACACGTATATCTCGCCTGATTATGAAGAAGGAAGCATAGAGATGCAGCCGTCCACTGAGGAGATTCGCAAATAAGTTGTATGTGTTATATTTTTTCTTGAACCAGTCGATGGGGACACAGATGGGGTGAACTAAGTTAAGGTCGATACTGTATCTGTTTAAAAAAGGAGCACGAAGTCGGTTGAAAGAGAAAAAAATGTAAATAAATGAACTTGATAGTAATGCAAATGTTACATGTAATATACATATAGATAGGAATAATAATTTTTCAAAGGGACATTAAAAGGCACGTAGGTGCTTGGTTAAATAATGGAATGTTAATGCATTTAAAACGTGTTTTTAGAAGCGATGTCATTGCGGTTATCAATGCATTTTAATCTGTATGCGCAGAAAACGTAGGTGTTAAAAGCAAAAGGAAACATTCTGTGTAAGTGTCTTTGCTAACAATTTTCCGTCGCCTCTGTTTAGGAAATTTAAATTAAACATTAATGTTTTATCTTTATATTCTAAAGAGCCTTGCTCCATTTTTTGAAGGCCGAATATTTTAACACATCACAAAGGCGTTAAGATGGTTGATACATCCCCACATAGCACTGCAGAAGAAATTGCAAGACAAGAGGGGCACACCAATGACGGGTTTAACAAAGATACAACAGACGATGATACAGCTGGTGACAACTGTGATGTTGATGTAGGTAGACATAGTTCTGAAAGGCATGGTGAATTGAGGGAGATAATATCTGCAGAAGGAAATGGCTATTCAGGTAATTTATTCAACTAGTTCCCAAAAGTTTGTGGGCTGTACAGTTTTAAAATAAACGTGGTGCTCATTCAATCACTTTTTTTTACTAAAGACGCACCTTCGCTACTTGGTGTCACAACGCATTGGGTTCCATACTGAATGTTAGAGCAGACGTTTCCAGCATTAAGACTTGGTTTTGAAACAAAATGGTTTCTTTGCGCCGGCATGGTCGTTACTTTCTCTACTTAAGCATGTGTCAAATAGGACTTCAATTTAACCTTCTTCAAATTTGGAAAATAAANTTACACGTTTATACCAGATGTAGCTCGAGCTATGGGGGTAGAGACAAACAACGCAGCGTTCCTGGTATCCATTGTAGGCATTGCTAACACAGTGGCTCGAGTCGTGATGGGACTGTTTGCAGACTTCCGGTGTGCTAACAGACGCTATATGCTTGGGACAAGCGTCATGATTGCAGGCGTCATGGTTTCCATATTGCCATTTATGAAGGAGTACGGCGTGATTGCAACGGTGTGCACGTTTTACGGGTTAACCCTTGGTAAGTGGAATTCGGATGATGTTGTGTTATTCTTTCTTTCAAATTGTGTAACTTCCGGTATATGATCTAAGCAATGGTCATATAATATAATACTTTTCACAAATTGTGATAAAAAATATAAAAATGAAAACAAAATAAAAATAAAAACAAAATAAAAAAAAATTAATCTGTTTCACTTCCCATTGCTACGAAGAGATGATTTTGTCGTGTGGCTAGTGTGTAATTTGATATTCCAAATAGGACTCGTAGTGCCTTACACGTTTATACCAGATGTAGACAGATGTAGCTATGGGGCGGAGGTAAAGTACTTCTGCTCTTCCTACAGGCATCTTCGTCTCTATGGCCCCGGTTGTTCTGAGAGATTTAGTCGGCATTGAGAAACTTGGACCTTCATTAGGGCTTACCATGGTAGCCAACGGTTTTGGTTCCCTACTGTTGACGGCTGGAGGTATGTGACCAAATGGGGAGAAGAGGGGTCAATCATTATACCATCATATATATATATATATATATATATATATATATATATATATATATATATATTATTCATTTTTATTTTTTTAAGCGATAAGATTTGGAACTTACTGATCGGAGATATATTGTTTTTAAATAGATTAACGACGACAATAATAATAATAATAATAATAATAATAATAATAATAATAATAATAATAAATTGAATTCATTTTGGATACTGACAATATATCAAGTATTATTTGTTATTTTCATTTTTTACACCGGACAATGAAATGTATTTAATGTAAATAAACGTCATCTAAAGTAATTAAAATTAATTACTCTCATTTCAGGTAGTTTGTATGATTTAACAGGCTCTTACGATGTCACCTTTTATATCACCGGCTCTCTATTATTCGTTGCCGGTGGAGCTCTTCTGTTGTTGCCATGGATACGTGACCTCCAGAGACGATGCTGTAATCATGGCAGCGCAAATATTACCGAAAAAACTGAACCTTGAGAACTTTGGAGAAAGTTAGTCAGGGGCGGATTTAGGCCGTCTTCAGGGTCTTCCGGAAGACGGTCAGATTTTCAAGTTTACATTGACGGGTATCCAATTTTTCATGTTGGAAGACAGTCAAAATTAGAGGGTGAATCAACAAAGATAATTTGGAAGACTGTCAGAAAATAGCCCTGGGTCCGCCCCTGGTTAGTGTGCATATGCGCAGAGTGATCTTTAGAAGGTGCGAAACGAACATTTGAGACTGCTACAGACACTGTTGTATTTGCTGGATGACATTATCTCTCGTAATGCAAAATAAATATTGTCAATTTAAGCATGCGTGCCCCACATGAGCCTTCAGGCGTAACAGCTCAAGGCAATAAAGAAAAACTTGGCTTTGCTTTTTAATTACTTAGCTCCTCGTCAAGAGTTGAGCACTTTTCAGCATGAATAACACCTTATAATATTATATACCGGGTTGCTCAAAAGTCACTTTCACTCATGCGACTTCTAACAGGTTCTATGGCATTTTTGACACCTGTCATGTGCCAATAATTTGCCGATTACATCAAAACCGTTTCACTTTAACAGTTGAAATGTCCAGGTCTGACTAATTATAATATATAAGAAATCTTTGCAAAAAATAATTCAAAAGCTTGCGACCTCTTAAGGTAATTAAAATCCGTCACTCTTTTTTGAGTCACCGGATATACTGTATATAATTCGTGAATCTTATTAACAAGTAGGTTAACTCTAACATTGAGTTCCCTTACCCTGTACTGGAGGTCCTTCTAGCTGTACAAATTAAAACCGGTTAAAGGACCTTCAACCAATTTTGTAACTGCTAGAACAAGTACGCGTCAAAGGTAATAGGATAGAAAGTTAGGGTACACGTATATCTCGCCTGATTATGAAGCAGGAAGCATAGAGATGCAGCCGTCCACTGAGGAGATTCGCAAATAAGTTGTATGTGTTATATTTTTTTCTTGAACCAGTCGATGGGGACACAGATGGGGTGAACTAAGTTAAGGTCGATATTGTATCTGTTTAAAAAAGGAGCACGAAGTCGGTTGAAAGAGAAAAAAATGTAAATAAATGAACTTGATAGTAAAGCAGATGTTACATGTAATATACATATAGATAGGAAGAATAATTTTTCAAAGGGACATTAAACAGGCACGTAGGTGCTTGGTTAAATAATGGAATGTTAATGCATTTAAAACGTGTTTTTAGAAGCGATGTCATTGCGGTTATCAATGCATTTTAATCTGTATGCGCAGAAAACGTAGGTGTTAAAAGCAAAAGGAAACATTCTGTGTAAGTGTCTTTACTAACAATTTTCCGTCGCCTCTGTTTAGGAAATTTAAATTAAACATTAATGTTTTATCTTTATATTCTAAAGAGCCTTGCTCCATTTTTTGAAGGCCGAATATTTTAACACATCACAAAGGCGTTAAGATGGTTGACACATCCCCACATAGCACTGCAGAAGAAATTGCAAGACAAGAGGGGCACACCAATGACGGGTTTAACAAAGATACAACAGACGATGATACAGCTGGTGACAACTGTGATGTTGATGTAGGTAGACATAGTTCTGAAAGGCATGGTGAATTGAGGGAGATAATATCTGCAGAAGGAAATGGCTATTCAGGTAATTTATTCAACTAGTTCCCAAAAGTTTGTGGGCTGTACAGTTTTAAAATAAACGTGGTGCTCATTCAATAACTTTTTTTTTACTAAAGACGCACCTTCGCTACTTGGTGTCACAACGCATTGGGTTCCATACTGAATGTTAGAGCAGACGTTTCCAGCATTAAGACTTGGTTTTGAAACAAAAAGGTTTCTTTGCGCCGGCATGGTCGTTACTTTCTCTACTTAAGCATGTGTCAAATAGGACTTCAAGTTAACCTTCTTCAAATTTGGAAAATACATAACTTGGTTAAAAATAAAGTCAAAGTTCACAAACCTAAATCCGTAACAGATTGACATTTTGAACCGCCAAGTTCAAAATCCCCACATGGAAAAAAATATTCGATATAAGCACTTTCTTTTTATACAGATAAACCACGCAGGCTGAGCTTGGCGTCTGGGTCAAATATAACAAGCTTAACAGACTCTAGTCAACTATCGATGGAACAAATCTCCGGAGTTCAGACCGACCGCTGCATCGATTGGCTAGTGGTATTGGCATCCTTCTTCATTCACTTCATCTTTGGCGGGATTATGTATTCTTTTGGCGTGTTCTACATCAGTCTGTTAACTGAATTTAAAGAAAGCAAGTCAGCGACGTCTTGGGTTGGCTCCATTCAAATAGCTGTGAACTGGGGCATAGGTATGNACGAAGTCGGTTGAAAGAGAAAAAAATGTAAATAAATGAACTTGATAGTAAAGCAGATGTTACATGTAATATACATATAGATAGGAAGAATAATTTTTCAAAGGGACATTAAACAGGCACGTAGGTGCTTGGTTAAATAATGGAATGTTAATGCATTTAAAACGTGTTTTTAGAAGCGATGTCATTGCGGTTATCAATGCATTTTAATCTGTATGCGCAGAAAACGTAGGTGTTAAAAGCAAAAGGAAACATTCTGTGTAAGTGTCTTTACTAACAATTTTCCGTCGCCTCTGTTTAGGAAATTTAAATTAAACATTAATGTTTTATCTTTATATTCTAAAGAGCCTTGCTCCATTTTTTGAAGGCCGAATATTTTAACACATCACAAAGGCGTTAAGATGGTTGACACATCCCCACATAGCACTGCAGAAGAAATTGCAAGACAAGAGGGGCACACCAATGACGGGTTTAACAAAGATACAACAGACGATGATACAGCTGGTGACAACTGTGATGTTGATGTAGGTAGACATAGTTCTGAAAGGCATGGTGAATTGAGGGAGATAATATCTGCAGAAGGAAATGGCTATTCAGGTAATTTATTCAACTAGTTCCCAAAAGTTTGTGGGCTGTACAGTTTTAAAATAAACGTGGTGCTCATTCAATAACTTTTTTTTTACTAAAGACGCACCTTCGCTACTTGGTGTCACAACGCATTGGGTTCCATACTGAATGTTAGAGCAGACGTTTCCAGCATTAAGACTTGGTTTTGAAACAAAAAGGTTTCTTTGCGCCGGCATGGTCGTTACTTTCTCTACTTAAGCATGTGTCAAATAGGACTTCAAGTTAACCTTCTTCAAATTTGGAAAATACATAACTTGGTTAAAAATAAAGTCAAAGTTCACAAACCTAAATCCGTAACAGATTGACATTTTGAACCGCCAAGTTCAAAATCCCCACATGGAAAAAAATATTCGATATAAGCACTTTCTTTTTATACAGATAAACCACGCAGGCTGAGCTTGGCGTCTGGGTCAAATATAACAAGCTTAACAGACTCTAGTCAACTATCGATGGAACAAATCTCCGGAGTTCAGACCGACCGCTGCATCGATTGGCTAGTGGTATTGGCATCCTTCTTCATTCACTTCATCTTTGGCGGGATTATGTATTCTTTTGGCGTGTTCTACATCAGTCTGTTAACTGAATTTAAAGAAAGCAAGTCAGCGACGTCTTGGGTTGGCTCCATTCAAATAGCTGTGAACTGGGGCATAGGTATGGTTTAGTATAAGCATGCACTGATACGGTTCGTAGGTCGGAGAAGGTATTGTAAACAACGAGTAAGCAAAACACATCGTCATGTCTGATGTCTAATTAATACATAGACAAATAGATAAACGATATAGCTTGCCTTTACAATCTTAGTACAGCGAAAGAAACAATGTAAAGTTTAAGTTTTGAAGATAATTCCTGGACAAGAATTGCGTAACTGACCTCAAAATCCATCATTAATTCCTTTCATCTACTCCCTTTCTCTTTAATCACCACAAGAGAGAGAAATGTTGCCAGATGTAAACGTGACTAACTTCTGTTTTTCTGAAATAAGATCCCTTTACAGCTGTAGAACATTAATTAGACTTATTCGTTTTGAATTAAAATTAAAGTTATTTACAGTGAATAACACGGAGTACAATGTCCAGTTGACAGATCGATGTTAAACAAGCTAAAATATATTATGAATAGTATGAACTGTAATAATTAGGATATTTAGGCCTTAGTGGCATATGAACCGTTTACTGCTTTAAACACATTTCGAATATACATTTCAGGTCCAATAGCAAGCGCCCTTTCAGACAAGATTGGACACCGGGCTGTTGGAGTCATTGGTTCTATTCTCGCTGCGACGGGGTTTGGCGTGAGTTCATTGGCACCAAATATGTGGTTTCTCTATCTAACATACGGGGTTCTAACTGGCCTCGGTTTTGGGCTGATGTATTTTCCAAGCATTGTCTCCGTCCAGGGTCATTTTGAAAAGAGGAAAAGTCTAGCTATGGGAGTTGCAGTGTGCGGATCAGGTGTTGGGACATTTTCAATGGCGCCCTTCACAGGATTCCTCATTAAAAACATTTCTTGGAGGTACACTCTTCTTGTACTGGCGGGGTTTTCTCTTACAGGAATTGGCTTGAGCATGCTGTACTTTCCACTGAAATTAAAAGTAATCAAGGGAAATGAGACCAAGCAGAGCGTATCCCGCTGTGACAAAACTAAAATGTTCTTCAAAAACCTGTTCCACACCCCTTTGCTCCGAAGAGCTGATTTTGTAATGTGGCTGGTGTGCATTTTGATAGTACAAATAGGAATCGTTGTGCCATACACTTACATACCAGACATAGCTGTAGCTATGGGGATAGAAGTGAACAACGCAGCGTTTCTGGTGTCGATTGTAGGCATTGCTAACACAGTGGCTCGAGTCGTGATGGGTCTGTTTGCAGACGTAAGCGATGCTACATGTATCAGACGCTGTATGTTTGGGACCAGTGTCATGATTGCAGGCGTCATGGTTTCCATATTGCCGTTTATGAAGGAGTACGGCGTTATTGCAACGGTGTGCACGTTTTACGGGTTATCCTTTGGTAAGTGGAATTGTGGTGCTATTTTTTTTTTTCATTCTTACTTAACTTGTGCAGCAGTATGGTATTTTGACACTGAAAATAATATAAATAAATTGATTATGCAAGGTTTTTGTTTTGCTTTGGCTGCCACACTATGATGTTACACTTCAATATGATGCTTAAACACATGATACACGAAACTAAAGCTTTTGAAGAATTAGCCATTCTTGCTCAAAAGTCTCAAAAGTCTTGCTAAAAAGTCTGTTAAGAACGAAATAAACGTTATTTTATATTTTAATTGCACGTGACATATCTAATGTGAAAGTTTTCAAATAAGTAGATTTTTCATTCTATAGTAAATAATTATCATTATCTTCTTCGTTTGGTGGTGTTTTTAGCAAAAAAGGGAGACACATTCTATAGTTTTTAACAAACTGATCAAACCTTGTAATAAGTGGACTTGCAAGTACACAAAAAACATGAACAAAAATATATTGTTTAAATAAACGAACACAGACCTTCTTCTAGACATATCGAAGATCAAATAATCACATTGCACAAGTTTAAATACTTTTGCTCTTCCTACAGGCATCTTTGTCTCAATGGTCCCGGTTGTTCTGAGAGATTTAGTCGGCATTGAGAAACTTGGAGCTTCATATGGACTTACCATGTTAGCCGTAGGTTTGGGTTCCCTACTGTTATCTGCTGGAGGTATGTGGCCTAATTAGGGAAGGGGGAGTGTTGTTTCAATCATTTTTTTTTCTGTTAGGCCTACACATTTGGTCAAAAAGATGGTCCCACCTCCAGTTTGCGTGCTTTTGTTTACAAAAAGTTCTCTGAGTGAATTTTGCAGAAACACACTGTTCTGATGGCGCAACCATCCTTGAGGCATGTTAGATCAGGTATCTGGAATAGAAAGCACTTTTTTATATCAATTTACGCCTGTGAGGTTATCATTTGTAAATAATAGCAGATGGAATGGGATGTGGGATAACCTATTTTTTTAGAAGGCATACTACCCTGTATATGGCAGATTTCTTTGGGAGGTACATGCATGTGCTCATACTGGAAACTGGTAAAGTAACTTACACAATTTAATATTTTGAAGGGGTTCGATTATGTACATTATTTGGTACGGAATGCAATATGGCAGATATATTGTTTTCCATGAGATAATAATAATAATAATAATAATAATAATAATAATAATAATAATAATAACTAAATCTGTAATGCTGCTGACAATATATCTAGTTTTATTTACCCATTATATCACATGCATTGAAACGTGTTTTAAATGGAATTCATTTAAAGTAATTAAAAACCTTTTGTTTCAGGTAGTTTGTATGATTTATTCGGCTCCTATGATGTCACCTTTTATATCGCCGGCTCTCTATTATTCGTTGCCGGTGGAACTCTTCTGCTGTTGCCATGGATACGTGACCTGCAGGGCCGATGTTGTTACGATGGCAGCGCAAATATCACAGAAACAGAATCTTGAAAACATGGTAAATGGTTCTCTATGGAAGGTCCAGAGACAAAAAATGTTTAACTTAACAATTTGCTTGCGCGTTAAAGTTGTTATCGAGAAACCTTCATCTGGACTCACTATGTTAGAAAAATAGTTTTGGGTTACTACTGTTATCGGTTGGAGGTGGGTCAGCTTAACTTAATGCGAGTTGTTCCTTTGAATATTCACCAATATATGATTATCTACCAATGTTATACATGATTATTTTCTCTTACTGTTGGTTGGTATTTATTCACACTGTATCAGATTATGTGCTAGAGTTAGAGCACGTTGGTAGTAGAAACTGGCTGATTGACTGCAGTCTATAAGTATTCAGATCAACCATGAATTGACTGTAAAATATATCTGTGTACTGCAACATTTAAACTAGGACATACGAAACATATGCATCCTACGTCCTAGATTAAAACCATCATACAAGGTTGTATAGAAATAATTTAACAGATGTAACAATGATTTTTGCACGACTCGAGAACGTGAGTTTGAAATAAACTTATTGTTTATTCACAAAATATGTAAATTTATGACACACACGTAAGAGAACAAACGTGTTGACAATATAAAGAAACTAATAGAATAAATTAAATGAACTAAGACTTAAAATAAAGAATATCTGAGATGAAATAACATCAACTAAACGAAGTAAAGTATACTTATTTTATAACAAAATAAAACAAAACTCTATGATATCAAAGATAGCAAAAAGAAAAACAATCAAGTCAATATTTTCTTGTAAGTGTATGTGACACACGTGGTAGGACGAATGTGCCGCGAAAGAGAAAGGGCGCGTTTTATAGATAAACGGCCATACACGAACACAAACGGAAAGAGACGAACACACTACGCTAACACAATCACAACCTCACACATACACATGTTACATGAACGTGTTTGAGGGAATAAACAGGCGCTTTTGGAGCCAAACTTTAAGTTTCTGTTTTTTTTCTGAGATACAAAATATAATCACATCTGGTAAAACAGGCAATAATTCACTTCTGTCCTTTTTTTCCTCAAATTGTAAATCTCACCTTTGTATATGTTATGTTTATCAACATACTTCCGTAATCTGCATCAATCTCTGCTCGAGACAGTCTTTTTGTTTAGTCATAAAAATATTAATCTAAAGTTTGACTTTGACTGAGAGTAGTTTTTGGTGAATAATGACTGGTGAGTAAATAAAATGAAATAAAAAAATTCATTCGAGGAAATATTTATTTATTTTACATGTTTTTTAAGCTTAAGCGAGGCATTTATCCTTACTTAAATTCCTTTCTCCCCTTCAGCAATTGCCTGTAAGACCGTTATACAGAGTACCTCCACCGTGTACTGAAAAAATATGAAAGTTATATTTCAATTATCTATAACGTACATGGGTAGGTCAATGTTCTACTCCTCACATCCCCATTTTACACGATGATTGGTCAACTGATTGTTATATAATAGTAAAATTTAACATATGAGTGCCCTTTAAGCAATGTACGTTAGTGTTGTAGGGGTGACACTTTTCTGCTCGGGGAGAATACAATGCTAGAAATATCTGTTCTTGCTGAAATTAGGAACTCCCATAATGCATTTGGAGTTCAAGGTCAACGTTAATATTTCCAGGAAGGCGGTGTAAAAGGTACAGTGGGAGAAAAAGCTTTCTTATTTTTGTTTGTTAGAATATTTGTGTTTTTATTTTCAGAAAAAGGTATCACCGGTAAATTACATGTACTGTACATTTGGAGAGGGTCTGAGACCGCCATTTTCTCGTCGTTTTTCAAGATGCATCTAGATATTTTTCGTCAGGTTTATAATGGAGTGTGTGTATATACTGTTTTTAAATGATAAACTTTTCCATAATTCTACAAATGATATTGAAAGAAAAAATTAAAATTCGCCCTTTCAGGTTTTTTTTCTCGAACTTTAATCCTATCCCCCTTCGAGAGTCATTTTGAAATCGAAAAATGTTCAAACTTCCAAATATAATACTAGTAAACTTAATGCAATCAAATTTATTCTTGTTTGCTTAATCCCTAAACACAAGAGTAAGCACATACATTTCCCTTTTTTGTCTTAATAAAATGACAAATGCAAAGTTGTTTAGTTTGTTTTTGATAGGAGTTCCTTAGCAAGGTTCATTGTACGTCATTTTAGTTCGTCCATAGGAGGTGTGACGAAATGGCTCTACTTCGTGACGCGGACTCATTGAAAAGTCTCAAACTACTCCCATCACGTTACGTTTTTCATCCAGTTTCACTGGTAACTGTTATGAAACCGAGCTATTTTTTGCTTATATATAGGTATAACCATGCAATGCAAGTATTTTCATGTACGACTAACCTTGTACATCTACATTAAGGTTTACAAGTCATGACGTGTCATTTATTATTCGTTTAAAATATGGGCCATGAAATTTAAAACGTATTTGCTATATTTATGGTTTAAATACACTGGTAGAATATACAGACGATGACTATACATAGACAATTTATCATGCTCCATGTTACGGTTTTTGAATTGAGAATAAGGAAGCAACACAATTTTTGTATGCATATTTGATAGGGCATGTCTAGGACTGAACGTTAACCTATTTTTTCGACGGCATTTCACAGATTTTTTCTTATGTGAAAATAGTTTCATTGGATCTTAGTTTTGATAGTCGGNTTATTTTTTATTTGTTAGGCTATAAGACACAAAATAAGATTCTGAAAAAAAAACTAACAGGTTATAAAAGATCAATTCAGTCCTACGCAAATATGAAAGAATGCATGCTTTAGACGTATTTGGTTGTATATTTCAGGTCCAATAGCAAGCTCCCTATCAGAAAAATTTGGACACCGAGCTGTTGGAATCACTGGTTCTATTGTTGCTGCGACGGGATTTGGCGTGAGTTCCCTAGCGCCAAACTTGTCCTTGCTGTATCTAACATACGGGGTTTTGACTGGCCTCGGTTTTGGAATGATGTTTTTTCAAAGTATTGTCTCCGTCCAGGATCATTTTGAGAAGAGGAAAAGTCTAGCCATGGGGGTTGCAGTGTGCGGATCAGGTGTTGGGACATTTTCAATGGTTACCTTCACAGAATTCATCATTCAAGTCTTTTCTTGGCGATACGCACTTCTGGTTTTGGCTGGATGTTCTCTCTCAGGAATTGTTTTTAGCATTCTGATTCCTACATCTGAATTAAAGAGCAACGAGGGAAACGGGTCAGAACACACCTCAAATTGCTGCGACAGACCGACGAAGTTTTTCAAAAATGTGATCCATGTATCCTTATTAAAAAGAGCTGATTTTGTTGTATGGCTAGTGTGTATGTTAATGATCCAAATAGGACTCGTGGTGCTCCATATTTACATACCAGATATAGCTCGTGACGTGGGGATAGGGGTGAACAAAGCGGCGTTCCTGCTGTCAATTGTAGGTGTTGCTAACACAGTGGCTCGAATCGTGATGGGTGCGTTTGCAGACTTCCGGTGTGCTAACAGACGCTATATGCTTGGGGCAAGTATAATGGTGAGAGGCGTCATTGTTTCCATGCTGCCGTCTTTGACGGGATACAATGTGATTGCGACGGTGTGCGGTTTTTATGGTTTGACCGTGGGTAAGTGAGATCCTGGTAACTTTTCAGAGTCTTTATTTTATACTTTTAAGATTAAAATTGTACAGCAGCATGAGTTATTTGCACTGTTCATATATATATATACACAAAAGATGTACGTTATACAGGGGTGCATATTTGTTTGTGCGTGCATCTTATTTTGCAGGCATGTTACTCTTAATATACCCTCTTCCTTTCTGTACTCAATATTGTTAAAATTGATGTTTTTTCTTGAAGCTAAAAATCATACTAAATAAGAGTCCCGAATAAGACACATCCATATATATATATATATATATATATATATATATATATATATATATATATATATATATATATATATATATAATACAAATCTCCTTCTTTTATTTGAGTGTATATATATATATATATATATATATATATATATATATATATATATATATATATATATATATAGTTACGGTATTCCATTATATAATAGTGTGTTTATTTGTAATTGTATCTATTGAACATTTTCATTTACCCATGCAGATATTTTTGCTACAATGGGTAAAAATGTTTAAAACATTGATACCATCCAATCTAATCACACAAGGCACTTGAATACAATGTATTTCTGCTCGTTCTACAGGTACCACTATCTCTCTGGTCCCGGTTGTTCTGAGAGATTTAGTCGGTATTGAGAAACTCGGACCTTCATTTGGACTCACCATGGTAGCCGTAGGTTTGGGTTCCCTACTGTTATCGACTGGAGGTATGTTAGCTATAAATTATGACGGTATCAGGACAATTCCCCCGGACAATCCCCCCCCCCGGACTATTCTGCCCGGACAGCCCCCCCCCCCCCCGGGACAATTCCCCCCAGGACAAATATTCATAAAATATCTGTTTACCTGTTCATCTGTTTACCCCACCGTTACCTGAAGGATAGGTGGTTATACTTCGTTTAGATATTTAATAAATCTTCCTGTACTTGTACTCAATGAAAAGGGAATTTGTTATGAAATAATTTGTTTCATGATGAAGTTGTATTATCACACTTAAAATATTAATAAAATGGATGAAATGTTTTAAACTTCACACTTTCTATTTTATATATGTATATAAATATATATATCTTGGGAGGGGGGGGGTTGTCCGGGGGGGGGGGGGGTATAGTCCGGGGGGTGTCCTAGAATCATGATGACATTATTTCTTTTCATATTTAGTATTAATGCCTGATGATATTATATTCCAGTGCTATAATTGTTATAACTATATACATACTGTAGGAGAAGTATGCGCTTACCAATATAATATATATATATATATATATATATATTTTTTTTTTTTTCAACGGTAGACTTATACTTGCGAGTTGTCAACATTAATTTTGGGTGTATTTTTATTAGTCCTACGGAATTGCAAATAGTTGTTGATTTTTTTTCTCGTACAAATAAATAATAAAATTAATGATACTTATAATTAATCAGTATTTTGAATTAATGATAACACAGTGCCACAGATAATATGTCAAGATATAATTGCTAGCTATTTGCTAACCTGTTTATATCAGTCAGCCATTTTACGTCTTTAAAGCCTATTATATACTTTTATTCTGTTTTATTTTAGGCAGTCTGTACGATTTAACCGGTTCTTACGACTTGACACTTTACATTACCGGCTCTCTATTGTTCATTGCCGGTGGAACAATTATGTCGTTACCATGGGTACGCAAGATGCAAAATCGATGCTGTTACCATGGCAGTGCAAGTATCACCGCAGAAACGGAGCCGTAACTAAGTGATACATTGTTACCGGGATTCCAATAAAGGATAACTTAATTGTAACTCACAGAAATCTAAAGAAATGTGTTAAAAGAAGCCAGGGGAACTTTTTTTGTTTTCTCAAAGCCCGTTATAAAGCATATTTTATGGATGTTTTATGATAGCGCATAGGCTGTATTTAATAGGTTAAAAGTATCTTAGTTATTAAGATGTGATGTACGCGCCTAAAACTGACACATTAAAGGTAAAGGAAAAGGTACACTTTCTCTAAAGATCTGGTCATAATATCGACCATCAAAAGTAAATCACTAAAGGAAAACTGTTGTTCATTAATTCCTGAAAAGATTAAATAGACTTCAATATTGTAACGAACTTTATCTAAATATGAAAAACAATGCTTTAAAGTAAAAGTGATAGTTGTTTAGTGTCTTTAGTGAACGAGTGAATTTTCTCAACTTGTTCTTCAGAAATACATTCCATTAAACTTCCTCGCAAGATCAGCTTACACAAGGAGGAATAAGTCCAGCTGTAAATGTGATGGAGTGAAGTTAAGGCGGGAATGTACCCAAATAACGCTAAAAGTCATCATTTTGGTTTTTTATGTCTAATTATTGGGTTAAATGTGTATCTAACGTTTAACGGAATAACCTTTTTACATTTTGAACAAAAAATATGTTTTGATTTTGATGCTGCACTCATCGGCACCGGTGACTTGGTCTGTGCCCCCCTTCGTTTCTGACACATTGGATTTTCTCAAAATACGCGTTTTTCCTTGAATTGCTTGTTGCTATACATGTACTTTTGATTTTCTTCTTAACTTCTTAACATTTGGAGATACGAAAAAAAAAAGAAACATACCGCTGCTTGCTACCGGTGACAGCAAACTGTCAAACTATCGATCAATCTTCGGGAGCAGCTCTATACAGTCGTCCAATTTTATAGATCTATGCAACTTGGGCCACCTGGCCTAGCATCAAGGCGCATGTTTATCAAATCTTTAACTTGACAACTAATGATTGCTTGGCTCTACGACAGTGACGATGGTGAAAATGTCTGTGTTTTGGACTTTTTCTGAGCGACATCGACGTAAACATTTTGTCGAATACTGACTGGAATCATATACAAGATTGCTTTGAAAAGACTTGAACCCATTTCCTAGCGTAACCTTTCATCGAGTGACGTAAAATATCAGTACATGTGCAAAAAAAAAAAAAAAAACTAAGCAAAAAGAGCTAATGATACTTGATTGCCTGTCAATCATTCTGGTAGTGCTACCGGTAACCCCTTGAAGTTACTAACTGGAGGTGAGATTGATACAAAAATAAGATTTTCTGACATCCAAATGCATGCAAACAAGCTAATTTCAACCGGCAATCAGCCCGGGAGCCACTGGTCTGCCGCTAGGTGGCTATTAAACAAACCGGAAGTTTGAGAATTTGAATTGGGCAATATTTTTTTAGATTTATAGGGTGTCAAAAACGGTGTATTATCTCGGCTATTAACGTACTTGGGGTTACAATATGTACATTGTCATATTGAGAAATAAATTTCGAATAATGTGAGATGACCCAAAAGTTGATCTACAGCATATTTAATGTTGAAAAATGAGTTTGAAATCGAAATTTTATTAAAGCTATTACGGAAGTTCGTTTTTGATTTTGATTTTTGTACCTATAGAGGCCTCCGCACAACTTGAAATTACTACAAGTTGTGGAAAATTTATTCAGCTTTCTGTCAATGTAAGCATGTAAAGAACTTTGCCTTAAGCTGTGAATGGCACAAATCAATTCACGGCCATGTCAGCCTGAAAACTCTCACTTACGATATCCGCATATAAGCCTCGCTTTGACTTAGTGCTTTCTCATGAGCTTCAGTCTCGTTTTAGTTTTTCCTTCACACAGTATTACTTATATAGAGCAACTGGGTATTGGGGACAATGAAATAATTTATTTCTTGGCACTTACCACGGTGCTAATACAAATGAA